TGCGCCATCTAAAAAGCACGAACGTTGGTTACGTTTAGTATCTTGTCTTGAATGGCAGTCGTGAACGCGTCGCTCCGTAATTTTTTGTTGTTATTTTGTGATATTTAATGCAGGTAGTAATTTTTGCATTTCTTTATATCGTATTTGTGTTTTGTATGCCGCATTTTATGTTTTTTGTGTGTTTAAATCTTTGTTTTTGAAATTTACTTGGTTTAACCGCAATGCAGAATCAAATGTGTGATACCACTATGCTATTGTTTGTAATTGTTTACGTTTTTGGTGTAATGCTTGCTTAATTTATGTTTATTGATTACTTGGTCTTGTCCCTGAAGTAACATTCATATAAGTTTTGATAATCTTATTTTAATATGTGGAAATTACAGATTCGTTTGATGTATGTAGTGACTTGTTGTTTGTTACTAACAATTTTCTCCGTGAATGAAGCAGTCACGGGGGTGGTAAAAACTGTAACCATTTGAAGTACGACACCTAATTCCGTGATTGTCCTCGACATTCAACTGTAGGCTCGAAATCCCGAAACCAGGGGCGGGCTACCTATCTTGTAGGAGCGGGATTACGCTAATCAAAGCTCTTCAGTTTAGAATCTATGTATGATAAATGAGTGGCGATTCAATAATTTCCACATATCTTGTTATTAATTAAATTTGCCTACAAGGCCATGTAATTTTCCATCTTGCTTTTAACAAAAGGACTTTATTACACCAAAGATGGGTCACGTCCTGTGTGTTTCACCCTTTCTGAGAATCTAATTGGTTCCTGCTTACCTGACCCATAATTCCCAAAACTTTTTTTTAACCTATAAGTTACCTCTTGAAGTTTACCTCCTACTTTTTGTGATGTTATAATTTTATGTTACGCATTCACATCATTACAAACAATTAATTTTACAACACAATTTGATATTAATTTGACGGCTGGTTTTTTTATTGGAAAATTCTTTTTTCCCCAGCCTATTTCTATTTTTATTGAGTGAACTAGTTTATTTTTGCAATGTAATTTATTTGGACTTAAATTTCCGAGCTTTTACAATCAATAATAATTGCGATCATTATTAAACAAACTTTTCACAATTTGAGTGTTTTATTTTACGTTCCTTCCCTAGTGTGCTTCAGGTCAAAGCGTTGTCTACAACTTACGTAAGGGGGGTCCTGGGTCAAACTGGGTCTAACTGAAAGGAGTATGACGTGACCCAGCGACCCAGTTTAATTTAGTGACCCAGGTGACCCAGTTCAACTCTGGGTTGGAGACGACACCTATTAATTTTAAGACCCGTGGGTCATATCCTTTAGCGCCTGCGCAGAGGGAACTTTCTTATTAATGGACTGATCTTATTGACAATTTAACAATAGCACCCTTTACTAAATATAAATAACTTTTAATAAACGCAAATCAATCGATTAGGTATATTAAATATTAGCTGCATGCGCGCATTCGCAGAAGTAGCTCTTATTTGTGGACTGCTTTTACTGACATTTTAACAGTAGCGCCTTTTAATAAATGCAACTCGATTGATTAAATTAAGCATTTCAAAGGCTGTGCGCGCACATGCGCAGAAGTAATTCCCCTACTTCTTGTGCAGCGTTGGAGTTTTTACTAGAAATCTGGATAGCCGTTCAACAGTGTGATGATCTTAAGGGTCCCCAACCCAGCACTGCAATCTTAACTTACCTACTCTATACTTACAGTTGGTAACAGCCTGTACTCTCTCTACAAGCACCTCTAGCGTTTCGCGCCACTTTCAAATGTCGGTTAACAGCCTGCTCGGGCTGGGTGATACAAATAGGACTTTTACGTTGTGACTTGTGATACATTATGGCGGTTCTTTTGTGGGTTGAGACGTGTCACGGGAGACACAATCCGGAAGGGGCTTGAATAAAATATATATTTTTTTTGCCTAAGAAAAAAATTTAATTCCAGCGTGTTTACCTACACAATTCACAGTCTTTTAAAATTAGGAACACGAAAATTTCTACAAATAATCTCGGTTGGCAAATTTGTGAGTTAGGTAGAAATTGGTTAAGTAAGTATGCGTTTTTATGACTCCCTCAATTCCAGCCTTAAAATCGTTCTCTAGTAGAACGTTCAACTCCTCCTTAATTTGATCCGCAACGTAAGGCCGTCTTAACATACTCCTTATCTTGCCTTTATCGCGCTCCGTAAGAGAAGTATGCGCGATTCCTAGAGTGACAATTTCGCTGGGCAAAACACCCAGCCATTTTATGTTGGATAACGCTAGCACTTCAGATAAATTTGCTGTTCGCTAAAAAAAAGCGGTTAGTATACCTAACATTTCTGGAACAACTATTGCATTACAACTGAACCATGTCTATAGGTAAGCATAATATCTATTCCCCACGGATCGGCATCCACTAAAATAAAAATCGGAATCCGTAAGTGATCTCTCAATATCCTTAAGAAAAGTCGCGTATTAATATCCGGAAATCCTTTTCCCTAAAAACCTTCTCTTACATGGGGTTGAAGGGTATCAACATACCGTGACGAGGATAAAGGGCCTTGTTAATTTGTTGGAAAAATTCTCATCGGCCAGCTTTTTGAAAATCGTATCTTTTTCTACAACCAGTATACAGTGCGCATCGCTTTCTATTTTTGTTACTGATATTAACTTTTGCGGAATGAGCAGTCCTAGTAAAAGGCACCTGTTTGTTAATGCAATAAGCAATCACTTAGCTGTTTACCTCCTGCGACGTTAAAATTTATAACTTCCCCTGCTGACGTGTAAACTGTAAGCGCACCAAGTGCTAAGCCCTTACTAGTAGACATAATCGGAAGATACCAATGCTCTATTTCCAAAAAGCAGCTTATAATGTTCACGGCGTCTTCGATCTCACGTTGGCATTGCATATATTCCTTTAAACAATAGTAAATTTCTCTGCAAAGGACAAAAATAGTGGTAACTAACGGTTGGCAATTGTTACCTTATAGTGCATTCAGAACCACGTATACATAAGGCATACATTCTTGCAAGAAGGTACACTATGATGTTGAATCGCCTTCTAGGTCTGGACCAAGTACACATCTGTTGAAAGATGCACTTATCAAATTTCTTCAACTCCACTCTAAAAGCAAATGTTCAGTTGAAGCCTATTGCGCTCCGGGAAAAGTGCTCGTGAGCAAAAAAAACGGTCAAGAGCGAAAAAGCGCTCGGGAGCAGAAAAAACGCTCGCGAGCGCCAAGCACTTTGAGTAAACGCTCGATTATCGAGCACCAACAGCGGCCGCTCCGAAAAGTGCTCGCGAGCGCTTTTTCTGTTTGGAGCGCTTTTCCGAGCGAAACGCTCGCGAGCAGCGTACCCAGCTCTGGTTACGTGGTATGTTCACAATTAAACTTCCATTGCCAACTATGCTGCTGGTTTATTGGAGCGCGCTATATCAATAAACATATAAGAATTTTAAAAAAAAACTTACATTCCATTCTCATATGTGCAGTTTCCTAAATTACATAGTTGAACATTCATCATGAACGGCTTTTTATTGACAGCTTTTACCAGCATCTTGTAAAAAAAATTTTCTACTTCTTGTATTAGTCTCTGATTCTTCTCTTCAATTTTTTCGCCGTACAGGCCTCTCGGACCTTTGTACACCAACTCCTTATCCATGGTTATACGATTCAGGGCACTTCTTATTCGTTTCTGTGGGTCGGTAAGATTTTCATTTGAACCGGTCGATAATGGCGAGTTTTTGCCGGTGAGTATGTTCAAATTACCATCGCGTAAACTGGTTTCTTGCAATGGTAAATTTATAATCTCCATAGTTGCATCTGTTCGATTGAGTAGTTCGTAATCGTCAATTGAATGATGTCTAGGCGTGCTGCTTCTACTCGCATCAAAATTTACTATGTTAAAAGATTCGTGAGGGGAAATATCTCGATTTTCACGAAGAAGTGATGGAGATCTATTAACAGATACGTCTAGATTATAATTCTCCGTATTTTCGTTTGGATACATAACCGGGTCCAAAAAATTGAGCGATTCTTCCAACACTTGAGAGCCGAATCCCTGGGACTGTTTATTTGTATCAATTCCCAAAGTTTGGTTATCTTCGGCAGTTTGGAAGTTTGCAGTACCAACAAGTTCGATTCCGTTTGTAATTGATTGGTTTTCTAATACTAGTTGTGAAGCGAGCAGTATCGTGCTTTGTGATCTAGTATTTGGATTCAATTGAGAATGAGATGCCTGGGAGTGAGTGTATTGACTAGTTTCGGCAGGTTTCATCCACTGCATATTTGCTTCATTTTCAATGCGAAGTCGTGAGGGGGGCCGTTCCATTGGAAAATTGGAGCGACGTTTCTTACAGATGACGCTTGTAGGAGGTTGCGTATGACTGGATGAATTCAAAAGCACGTCAGCATTACCTTGATCAATTATGCTTTCGTTCTTGTCAAATTGTGTGGGCGACTCCCCACCTTCCCGCGATTCCTCCAACAATTCTTCTATACCTTCTAGTCCATCGTTTTCATTGAGTTGGGCGAAATAAGTTTCACGTGCTGTTTCGTCCACGTTTTGTTCCCAAACTAGTTTAGAATCATTCGAACAATAGGATTGGTGTAAATCACCCACCAAGTCTAAACCTGATGCGGTCAACTGCTTATGTAAAAAGCCGATGAAGCTACTGTTTGGACTTTCTTGTGAAACAGCTTCCCTATATATACTAACATCCACGGCATCACAAACGGAAAGAATATTATGAGTTGTTTCGTCGCTTTCGTTGGGACTAAAACAGTTTCGGGTTTCGTTAGCGTCTGTGCTGCTAACAAATGTCAATGAGAGCTCTAGAGTTTCATTTCTTGAACTACACATTGAATTACTGAGCACTAAATCAGAACCCATTGTACCATCTAAGCTGTTTACCGACTCCTTATCGTCTTCTCGTTCTTCCGCATCCGTACACAACTGATCCACCATACTCATGTTGAGAAACTTTCGCTGAGTGCCACTAAGTTGAAATCTGTAACGTATATATTCATTCAAACAAGGTTGATGGTAGTAAAGCCAGCATTATTGCTAACCTTCTTATTAGCGTAGCTACGAATAAGTCGGTTAAATGAGCAAATATAAAACATTACAAAAACTTGATTGGATAAAGATATTGCTGTGTGCAATCGAATGCGGTCACTACACCATCCACAGACCACCTGTCCAACTGGCTCAAAAAAAATCAAAATTGAAACTTAAAATTTTAGAACCTCTCCTCGCACACATCCGGCATCTGCCAGAATAAAGAATTCCAATATTGACTTAAAATTTCTCAAATCGAAAGACTATAGACACCTGCAAAAAATCTTGGACACGAATAAAAAATCTGACATGAAAACTCTCTCTGGGTCGCACAAAGGATTCGAATAAACACACAATGACACAAATTTATTCCGAAACACATGAAACAATTAAAACAAAATTTCTGCAAGAAAGGGAAACTTACAAAACTTGTTTAGATATAATACACCGCACTTAGGCGGTCGATAATAAAAATTAAAAAATAAATTGTTTACAGTTCTTTTCCGTTTTAAAAACTTTCCACAAATTTTTACTACTTCACTTGACGTTCGCATAAATTTTTTATTAGGATTGCTCAACTTCTTCTGCACACTTTATTTTGAAATCGACGTACTGCGTCTTCAACAAACGAATAGGACTCACTGCCCGAGATTTAGCGTAAACAAATTTACACACAATTTACAAAAGCGATAAAATTTAAACAAAAAAATTACGCAATTACAAACAATTCTAAAAGGAAAAATAGACACTGAGTCAAACAATTTCAAATAAAATATACCAATTTTGTGTTTATTCGCAAAACTCCCAGATTTACTTAATAAATTGAAATATTCTCATATACAGGGCCTCCCGTCATTATTTTTGGTGTTTAGACCGAAATAACGTTGTTTATATAACACTGAAAGGTTCCACCCTGTATATACAGCTTACGACGATACATACATTTTTGAGAGTTGGCAACCATGCAATTTCTAGGTGGGAAAAAAAGCTGCCTGCGCCACCTAAGAAAGCGCGAACGGGAGTTACGTTGGGCATCTTGTCTTGAATGGCGGTAGTGAACGTTTCGCTCCATAAATGTTTGTTGTTATTTTGGTGTTATTTAATGCAGGTAGTAATTTTTGCATTTCTTTATATCGTATTTGTGTTTTGTTTGCCGCATTTTATATTTGTTGTGTGTTTGAATATTTGTTTTTGAAATTTACTTGGTTTAACCGCAATGCAATCATATGTGTGATACCGTTATGCTATTGTTTGTAATTGTTTACGTTTTTGGTGTAATGTTTGCTTAATTTATGTTTATTGATGTTGACTACTTGGTCTTGTCCCTGAAGTTACATTCATGTAAGTTTTCATTTTATTTTAATATGCGGAAATTACCGATTCGTTTAATGTATGTACTGTTGTATGTTACTAACAATTTTCTCCGTGAATGAAGCAGTCTCGGGAAGGTGGAAAAAGAAACTGTAGTCTATAATTATGTGTTAGGGCACCTAATTCCGTGCACTGTCTTCGACATCCAACTGTAGGTTCGAAACCCCACCCCGAAACCAGGGGCGGACTACCCATCTTGCAGGAGCGAGATTACGCTAATCAAAGCTCTTCAGTTTAGAATCTATGTGCGTTAAATGAGTGGCGATTCAATAATTTCCACATATTTTGTTTTTAGTCAAATTTGCCTACAAGGCCATGTAGTTTTCCATCTTGCTTTCAACAAAAGGACTTATTGCACCAAAGATGAGTCACATCCTGTACTTTTAACCCTTTCTCAGAATCTTGGTACCTGCGTCTACCTGACCCATTGTCCCCAAAAACTTGCTTTAACCTTGAGTGTAACCAACATTGTGTATATGCATTTACTATCTTTGTTAACTACTGCTTAAAACTTTTACAAAATATTTTGTTAATTACCTTTGTGGACTGTTTTAATCAAACTGCAAGGTTTTTCTTACGTCGTACTCTTTTTATCCTTGGCAGTGACTTTTGCGAGAGTACGACACCTTTTGGCTTTGTTTGTTTTGTTTATATTAATGTACATCAACTAAATTTCCGGGTTTTCACAATCATAATAATTACGATCATTATTAAACAAACTTTTCACAATTTCAGTGTTTTATTTAACGTTCCTTCCCTACTGTGCTTCAGGTCAAAGCGTTGTCTTCAACTAACGTAAGGGGGCCCTGCCTTAGATGTTTTATCACGTGCCACTTTTTTAAATGTAAGCGGGATCTTGTTTAGTTTTAGAGGGAATAGTCATTCGGGTGGCCATTTTTTAAACGTTGCCGGGTTGATTTTATTTCCGTGTTCTTGTAGTGTGA